CCGAAGGAGGATATGTACGATGCAAGATCGGTCGCATCAGATTTTTTGAGGACTGGTTAGGAGCAAGGGGGTTTGGGCGGCAATGAGGAAAGACTGGGGATGGTTAAAGGGGAAAAGAAAGAAGGAAAAAAATAACTTCAATAGAGGCTGCTTGACTAATTGAATGGTTTGCTTTTGCTGTGCTACATATGTATGGGGTGTCTTGGTAGCTTTCGTAATAGATCGCATCAAACGGTGCTGTAGTAGTACAAAACCAATGCCCAGATGCTTTATGCTAGTCGGCTGCCATTCGTTTTACCGCCGTTGGTTTCATTTCGTCGTCCATGGTGAGGCCACATGACAGTTGACACTGGGACAGTATACCTCGATTCCTGGGCTAGCGAGCCGAATTTCCTTCACCATTTTTTCCACCTTCCCCCCAAAAAGGCCTGGCCTAGATGAAATCTCAGGACACATGGGTAATTAGCATAGGTATTGTATCTCAGTACCTCAAGCTGCGTATTTTGAAGCCCAACCAGGCACATGCAGAAGATTTGATTGATATGAGGCAGGTTGTCTTATGCAACTGGGTATGTTTATATTCTTGGGCACAACTGATTTACCTCTATAGAATTCCAAGAAAGCAGGCTGTTGTAATTAGCTTTGAGCATGACATTGCACTTATCCATCTAAGAGGAAAGCACCGAAAAAACAATAAAAAAACCAGCCGCCACAATCCATATTCCTCCTCACCATCCTCACCCATTATACTCTACACACCCCAAAGTCCGCAATCTCGACCGAGCAAATTTTCGGCTATCAAAAAGGGTCTTTTCTTTTACTCATAGCCTAGAGCGAAGTTTTGGAACGTCGAGTGTTTCGTTCAGTGATGTGATTTGAGCCTTTTGCTTGCCCCCCTTTCTGCAGGACTCACCCCGTGTGTCCCCCCATATTGGACAATAGACCCCGCCACTAAAACAAAAGAAGAAGAAAAAGAGTCGGCCGTTACGGGAGTTGAACCCGTGATCTCCGGATTTTTCTTTTATTCTGTCTCAAGAAACACTGCTGCGGTGAATTTGGGACGGTGGTATAAAAGTCCGGCGCTTTAACTGCTAAGCTAAACGGCCCTTGAAGATGAAGGGTTGGATATGAGGTGCTTTGTTTTATATTGTTCTCATACTACGGCGAGGTAGACTTTTGATTCTTCTGTCGGCGAAGATATAATTATTCTTACAATGGACTTTGTTCTTCGTGTCAGCTTCATCTCATGTATATATATATGTAGCCCGCCGCCCTCTTCCTCGCTCTACCGGGCGCCGCCCACGAGTCTTAACTATTTGTCACCTAATGCTTAAAAGGGAATATGGAAACTATTTCTCTTCTATCGGCTAGAATTGGGATCTTTCGGCTTCCATGCCTGCTTACGTAGGTAGCTGGTCAGTCCACAAATGCAAGGCTCATCATTCCTTGGGATCCAGGAATGCCCTTAATAAGACTCCTCGAAATCGGCCAGTATTTCTGGATGAATACTTCGCCTTCCTGTACCCAGTGTGCATTTCTGTCTGTGTTGACATAGAAAAGATGCTCGCCTGGACACAGAGTCAGATGGACTGGCACTTGCGGTTGCACTTTATGGAGGCGTTTTGCAAAGCCAGATGAACAGACAGACGGGCACTGGGACAACAAAATTTCATATCAGCTGTGGAAATCGATTTCTCTTCCAAAGAACTTCACGTACAGGGAATACCATAAACAAGAAACTTACCATGGTGTCGTTTGTGCCATGCAAAACCTACACAGGCGACATGACCTTGTCACTCCCTTCTAGCGTCTGCATGATGCCCTCGAGAGTCGATTGGCGCTCTCCTCCTCCTCCTCCTACTCCTCCTCTTGCAACGACAGTGCCCCGCGCATAGTCCCCGTTCTGAATCCATCTCCAGAAGTGGGCCACATCGCTCAGTATGTCCCTTCCGGTCGACTCGAGCAAGAGTCGACAATCCGGGGTGACGATGATGGCTTCCTTCTCGAGAGAAAGATCCAGTAGCCACTGCGCAAACCACGGCTCGTACATTCGGTGGCCTATGAAAAAGCCGCCGCCGTGCCAGCGAACAGCGACCGGACTCTTTTGGCAGTAAATGGTGACTTGGTGGAATCACAGATACTCACCGAAGTGAGAATAGTGGTTTCGAGAGGAATGTTGTTGATGATACGGAAGGGCACGTCGACGCGGGTGAAGGGCGCGAACCGAGACATAGCTATAATTCTTGCGCTGACTAGATCAATAGTCTCTGGTTCTGGCTGGCTATTTCGTATGCTGAATAGCGTAAGAAGGCTGTTCTAGAGTCGCGAGCAACTTATATACCCACCTTAGAAAGTAGGCGGCATCTCACTCTACCGCGATCCTCACATAACACGTTTGCTACCTTGGTGCTCCAATTCTCGCACAATCTGCGCCATATTCCTAGCTACATACCTAATTAAATAGTCTTCGGTAATTTGATGTCTGAACGTACTCGGATTTTGAAAAGCAGACGGCAAGTCGAATCTGAATCTCCATACAGTCAGAATTCGGTTCATACTTGTAGTTATAAAGATCACTTGCGACCTGGGTTTTAAACGAGGTCTGTTGTCTTGGTGATCGGTTGCCAAATCATCAAATCATGACAAGAGAATCTTAAAATATCGTGCGAGATCTGTGATTGCCAGTGATGCCTATGGACCGATGGTTCTTATCCGTATAGCCTGTCCAATTTTCCTGAACTCCTCACCGAAGATAGGGCGAGCTCTCCTCATCATCACTATCTCCCCATATTTCTTCATCCATCCTCAATTTGCCGACTTCCTGTGTCACAGTACTCTTTCCCCTCCCGTCAAAGATGATGTCGATGAGGCTCTGTTCAAAATGATCGTATAATGCAATGAACCCACCCCAGCCGCCATGGCCATAGCTACTCAGACCATAAGCTCTGAGGTCCCATGATTCGCAGATGCCATCCAGCGCGCAAGTAAGGTCAGATTTTGAGGCTTTTAACTGTTCTTGAAGTTTCTCTCGCTTAGAGTTGAAGGGGTAGGAGATCCAAGAAACCTCATGTTCATTTGGCCGAGGTTTAACACGTCCACGAACAATGTGGTGGCCGTGGTCCGGTAGGTCCTCAACGTAAGGGCAGGTCTCACCTTCGAACGGCTGTGGAAGCTATGAATATAATCAAATCAGCTTTGCTCGGTAATCAGGTCGCTGGACGGATAGGTCCCACAGCACTAAAGAATGTACGTGGTTCTAAGGTTGGAGGATTACTCATTTTTGTCCAACGCATTCCGAATATTCTACGCAACGAGTGCCCTGGAGAGGTTTCGAGGCAAGCGCGTTTCTTGGATGTTCACTTACTCGGCTCATCTCATCCACATAGTAGATGTGTCGCATCGTCAAGTGGCTCAGACGTTCAGGCCAGGCTGACTCTGGGAGACAGAGGAGGCTCCAAACGTAGTAGTAGGCTCGAATGAATCGAGATTTTTCGCTGGGACTGAGTTCGGGAGGGTGCATGACGAATACCTTCTTGCTAATATCTTGGAACAACACCATTGTCAGTGCTTATGTTTGTAATATTCATAACATCGAAGAAACGTGATTTTGCAACCCACCCATTGAATGAGGCGCGATTTCTCGGCCAAATCTTTCCGAGCTCTTGACCGCCTTGGTTGAGTTTCTTAACAATTGACGGATGTCTTTTGCTCTGAGCGATTTTGGTTCCAGCATTGGGCCCCCAAGCCCTTTCTGGTCTCGAAGAAGGGCGCGGGCGTGCATTTCGAACTCAATGTCCAGTCGGGCAGTCCGCTGATATATGCTCGGTGCATGGTCATCTAGAAGCTTGGTTGCTCGACGGCAAGATAATGCGAAGGATAAGACGTCGGAGATCGTGCTAAGTGAATAGAAAATGTTGAGAACGACATCGTCGGGCATGACTTGGAGCCTGTCGGGCAGGAGGCTGCCCGTTCTTGATGGGTGCTCCATGAATGCCTGTGTCCCCAGAACCTCTAGGTCAATATGGACTTGGGTAGGCGGAGTCAAAGCATGCGACGAAGGTGCGAAGCGACTTTACGTTGCAAACGAACTGGCTGATTTTACAAGAACAGCGGGGGGCCTAGCAACCATGCCCACCCACTGTCAAATGAGTAGTCACCTACTAGTCAGCACTGTTGGTCAGCACTGTTGGTCAGCAATTTGTTTCGTGGTCTGCAGGTGTCTTCTGCGTCAAGTTATAAGCATCCCTTTTACCAACGCGTGAGCGTGAAACTCACATGTATTTGGCATATTTTTGCTGTTTTGTGAGCGGAAACGAATCTGCTAACCGATAATATGCAGGTCTCGGCTTTAATTATGGACTTTCTGGTAGTATATTGCATATGCCTCTGTACGAGACCTATGCAGCCTTGGCCGGTGTTGTGGATCAGGCCCACATTGGAAGTTACATTTCCGGTGCCTTCAGTGGCTGAGGTTCCGTAGATGGACCATTGGAGATGTAATTAGAAACAAAGCTACCCACACGGCTCTTACGCCTTATGAAGGTGGAACGGCCTCATTCCTGGGAACTGGCCCACTGGCCTTCGTGGAGGACTGACACTACCTCCATATTCAGCTTACAGTAAAGGTCTGTTGTTTGTATACGTATCATTATGAGACTCGGAAGAGCTTGACTCATGGATTCTGGGCTATTTTCGGTGTGCCATGGAATGTTCATTTGATACCTATGGAGGCCAAAATTGCCCGCTCTCGTCAGCTTCGACAGGTGACTGGCTTCAAGTGGGTTCGTTCCTAAACAGACTGGCCGCCCTCAACCTGCATTGGCCCCAACATGCATTGGTTTCCTCCTGCTTGTGCAGATTCAGGGCAAAATGGTCTGCGACCTGACCACACTGGTCTTCTGACCTCGACCTGTCTGGACGCGATCCACTACCTGTCTAGGCAAAAGATGTATCGCAGAGGGCGACTTATTGTCTAGGAGCTCAGAATTACTGTAAAAATCGAATATAAATGAAGACTTAGCCTCTCCTTTGGTGGACAGAAACAAACAGACACAACCGTCCACGCATAAGTACACATTTGCAACTCATTCAATCACTTCAACACGGTGCTGGCTCACCTTAATTTTTTCAATATGTATTTTTTTTACCGTTTGCTAGCATCCTCGTCCTTCAGCTTGTTTCTTTTACTGGGGGCTTTGACGCAGGTGACCTATTCAGCTCCTACAACATCTGAAGACACTCCCTCCCCGTTCAATGCCGCATATGATGGTATCATTGCGGACAAATCACCTGGCTTGGGCATTGAACTAGAACTCCCCAGTTTGTTCTTGGAATCTGCCACATGCCAAACCGATTGCCAAAGTGACAAACTCAAAGCCAAAACCCTTGGAGGACGTACTGGCACCAATTGGGAATTGACAGTTGACACCACGTTACAACAAAAAAAGTTGACAGCAGAATGTCAGTATATGAATAGTACTGTATCAAATTTACCTCGGCAGAAGTTTTAACAACCTTTATCACAGACATTCTGGACGGTACTAAACTCAAACTGAATGCAGGCACAGTTGCCAAAGCAGCCGCTGCAGTGGCAGAAGACATGGTAACAAGCATGGAATTCCTTCAAATATCAATCTGAAATTGACCATTATTTGATAGATCAAGTGGAAGCCCAAAGTGGGTGACTCGATGTCAATCGCGACAGACACTTTCAAGGACTGGAAAGTGAGTACAGCGCCTAGAGACATATCTAATGAAAAATGGGCCATCCAGGCAACTGCTCCCATGCCACTTGCAGGTATCAACGACCTCTTTGAATTGGCTGCGAAGAAGCAGGCATCAAAATCAGTCCTTCTTTCATCAGCTACGACAAAAACGAGCCCAATGGTTTGGGTCAATGAAGAGTTTTTCAAGTTGAAGCCGCAAGGTAATTCAGGTGTCAGCAAAAATGCGCTTGGATTCCTATCCGTGTTGATGACATACGTCAAAGGAGTTGACCACATCAACTCGATTGTGAAGAGCGACAATAGCCCAAAGATGCTGACATCAATCATGCCTCGAACGTATTTCACAACGATGTTCGACCTTGTCAAGTCTGATCTCAAGT